TGCTGATGGCCAGCAGGTCGGTGCCCGAGAAGGCGGGCAGCGCGGCGGGGAAGGCGCCCACGCCCGCCAGCCCGGCGGGACCCAGCAGCCCCGAGGCGGCGGCGGCGGAGGCGGCGGCCGCGGCGGGCAACACGTCGGCGGGGCTGGCGTAGGGAGAGCCGGTGGGGTTGGAGTTGGCCACGGGCCCCGCCACATTGGCGTAGCTGATGTTGAGACAGCTGCTGCTCTGCGGGTCTTCCTGGACCTTCTGCACGATGGCGCTCACGGCTTTGTGCACCTGCTCGGGCTCGCCGCTGACGGTCACCACACGCTCTTGCAGGTTGATGCCTTCGGGCTTCTGCGACAGCTGCACCCAGGCGCCGGACTGTTCCATCACCGCCTTCACCGTCGCGCCCCCTTTGCCGATGATCAGGCCCGCCGTGCTGTTGGGGACGATGAGCTTGGCCTGCGTGGGGAGAAAGAGGCAGAGTCTGCGCGGTGGGCACGGGGGATGCAGCCACAGGAATCACGTCTTGGCTTCCCCTCACCTCCAGAATCCAAGAGCAGGCCCACTACGCCCCCACCCCCCCTTGTGTACAAGGATAGCCGCACTAGTGGCTTACAAAAAATTCGAAGTATCTGGAGAGAGCTGGTTGGTTGGGGGGGGGCGTAGTCCAAGCCTTTAAAATCTTGGCACTAGGGTGGCAGAGTCTGACGGGCCTCTGTGCGTTGGAGGCCAGCCTGGTCTAATAGCCAGTTCCAGGCCAGCCAGACTTACATAGTGAGACCTTGTCTCTAAAATAAAGGGAAGAAAAAAAAAAAAAATCTGGCAGGGTGTAGTGGCATTCCTTGTAATCCTAGCCTGACTCCAGACTCCAGAGGAGGATGCGGAGTTCTAGGTCAGCCTGGGCTACAAAGTGAATGTGAGGCCATCCTGGACTACATAGCAAGATGCCATCTTAAGAAAAAAAAAGTAAAGCAAAACAAAATCCAGGCCCTATCAAGCCCCTCGGCCACTCTGACCCATGTCCCTAGGCCCTCAGATGCCTTCACTTTGTTGTCACCTGAACTTTCTTAATGGCTAACCCACTGGGAACCCAACTTGCTCCCCATCCAAGCTGGTGCTGGTGTTCCTCCTTCTGTCCTGAGTACTCAGCCCCCAAAGGCTTCAAATCTCAAAGTATTTCTCAGGCTGGAAAGATGGCTTAGGGGTTCAGAATGCTTCCTGCTCTCCAGAGGACCAGAGTTCAGTTCCCAGCACCCATGTCCACTCCTTACAACTGCCTCTAATTCTAGCTCCAGGGGAATCTGAGGCCCTCTTCTAGCCTTCATGGGCACCCACAAACTTGTGGCTCACATAAAAACATATACCTAAATAAAAATATTAAATTTCTCCTCTTCCTTAACCAAGGCTAGATTTGGACTCATGATCCTCCCACCTCAGCTTCTGAGTGATCCCCCTCAAACCCTCATACCAAAATACTAGCCCCTCATTACTTCAGAATGTGACTGTGTCTGAAGCTATTTTTTAAATTTTTTTTTGGTCTTTTTGAGACAGGGTCTCCCTTTAGCCCTAGCTGTCCTGGAACTCACTATGTAGACCAGGCTGGCCCTGAACTCACAGAGATCTACCTGCCTCTGCCTCCTGAGTGCTGGAATTAAAGGCATGAACCACCACGCCCGGCTTGGAGGCATTTTTAAATTATTATTTTATTTTACATGTATGAGTATATTGCCTGAATGTGTGTAAGTACACCCGTGTCGTGCAATTCTGGAGTTACAGAAGAAGGCTTTTAGTCAGAAGAGGGCTTTTAGTCCCCTGGAACTGGAGTTATGGATGGTTGTTAGCCACCATGTGGGTGCTGCGCATCAAACCTGGGTCCTCTGCAGGAACAGCCAGTGCTCTTAACAGCTGAGCCATCTCTACAGCCCCAGAGGCATTTTATTTTCCTAAGGTAAGCAAGCCAGATGTGATTTCAGATGGCTGGAGTTCTAGCACTGAATAGGCTGAAGCAAGAGGATCAGGAGTTCCAGCCTGGGCCACAGAGACTCTGCTTCAAAAAACCCAAACCACAGCAGGGTGTTGGGGTGCATGCCTTTGAACCCAGTCCTTGGGAGGCTGAGGCAGGTGGATTTCTGTGACTTCCAGGCCAGCCTAGTGAGTTCTAGGGCTGGGGCTACAGGGAGACCCTGTCTCAAAAACGAAACAACAAAAAACAAACCCACCAACCCAACAACAAACCCCCAGGAAAACACAAACCAAAACGGGCTGGAGAGATGGTTCAGTGGTTAAGAGCACTGGCTGCGGTTCCAGAGGTCCTGGGTTTGGATCCCAGCACCCACATGGTGGCCAACAACCATCTGAAACCATAGTTCCTGGGGATCCAATGCCCTCTTCTGACCTCAACAGGCACTGCACTTACGCGGTACATTTAATGCACGCAGGCAAAGCACTCATACACATAAAATAAATATAAACAAATCAATACAAATAAAATCAAAATGAAAACCTAAGTCTCCCATCTCACACTAGGGATCACTCTGTTTGTTGCTCAGGTTTGTCTGGGTGTGAACTGTGGCTCTTTCATTATTCCACCTGGTTCCAGTCAAATATTTGCATATTAAAATTCATCTTAATTTGGGCCTGGAGAGATGATGGCTCAGTGGTTAAGAGCACTGACTGCTCTTGCAGAGGACCGGGGTTTGATTCCCAGCACCCATGTGGTGGCTACGAACCATCCTCAACTCCAGTTCCAGGGGAATCCGAAGCCCTCTTCTGACCTCCGAGGCATTGCATGACACAGGTGCACTCACATACATGCAGGCAATACACTTATACACATAAAATAAAAATTAAATAAAATATATTAAAATTCATCTTACTTCACAACAAATTACCTTATTTTTGTTTCTCCTGTGGGTTTTTTTTTTTTTTTCCCCCAATTTTTATTTTGTCTTGAGTCTGGGACTTACTATGTAGCCTTGACTGGCCTGGAACTCACTATGTAGATCAGGTTGGCCTGAAACTTGTAGAGATCTGTCTGCCTCTGCCTCTTGAGTGCTGAGATTACAAGTGTGAGCCATGTCCAGGTGTCTTCAAGTTTATTTTGTTTTTTTTTTTAAACTAAAAATTTTGGATATTTGTGCGGCTGGAAAGGTAGCTCAGCAGTTAAAAGCACTGCTCTTGCAGAGGACCCAGGTTTGATTCCCAGCACCCACATAGTGGCTAACAACAGTCTGTAACTCCAGTTCCACGGAAATCGGATGCCCTCTTCTGAACTCCAAGGGTACTGCACGACACAAGTGCACTTACATACATGCAGGTAATACACTCATACACATAAAATAAAAATAATAAAGTATTTCTTAAAATGTGGATATTTGTGTGCATCTAAGTTTAGGTGTGCACCACTGCATTCACATGGGTTTCTGGGATCCAACTCAGTTTGTCAGATTTTCAGGGATAGTGTTTTTACCCACCAGGCCATCTCTCCACTCCAGTCTCCTGTATTTCAAAAAGCCTCATGAGATCAATAAAATGTATGCTATGCCCATGCAAAGGAATAGCATTTGGCAATAAATTTACATGAACTATTGACATAGTACATAGCATAATATGGATGAGTTTAGAAAATATGTTACATGAAAGAAGCTAGGAAGCGGTCACGTGATTCCACTGACATGAATGTTCAGAATATGCAAATCCACAGAGACAAAATGAAGACTGGGGGCTGGGAGATGGTTCAATGGATAAGAGGTCAAATGCCTCAGTACCCATGTAAAAAGCTGTGTGCAGCTGTGCATGCCTCTAACCCAAACACTGGAGGACAGAGACACGGAGATTGTTAAGAGCTTACTGGCCAGCCTATCTAGGGAACTCAACTTCTGGTTTGGGTGAAAGACTTTGTTTCAAGGGAATGAGGCAGAAAGTGATGGAGGAAAACACCCATATTCTGCAATGCACCTGCACACTCATGTGCATGTGCCACACATATACTACACGTATAGAAATTAATAAACAAGCTGGGCATGGTGGCACACACCTTCAGTTCCAGTAACTGAGAGGCAGGGGCAGGCAGATCTTTGAGAGTTCAAGCCCAGCCTGGTCTTGTCTACATATCGAGTTCATGCCAGTTGGTGCTACATGGTGAGAACTTCTCTGTCTCTGTCTGTCTGTCTCTCTATATGTATACATACATATGTACATATATAGGTTAGTGAGTGCTGGGGGTGGGAGATGAGGCTTGGAGTGTCTGAATGCTAACAAGAATGGGGTTTCTTTTGTGGGTGATGCAAATATTCTAGAATTTGATTGTGCTGGTTGACCATATATTCTCTTTCTAGTTTTGTTTGTGTTTTTTGAAACATAGTTTCATGTAATTCAGGTTAGCTTGAACTCAATACATAGCTGAGTATGATCTTGGATTTCTGGTCCCTCTGCCTCCACCTCCTGAGTGCTGGGATTATAGGCATGCACTGCCATGTCCTGCTTGATCATGTATTTTTATGACTGCATTTCTACAAGTGTCTAGAACAGGAAAATCTACAGAAACAGAAAGCAGATTAGTGTTGGCTGGGGAGGGGATTAAGAGGTGACAGCTAAGGAAATCAAGATTTCTTTAGGGGGCTGGTGAGATGACTCAGTTGGTAAAGACACTTGCTTTTAAGCCTGCCAATCTGAATTCCATCCCTTGGAATCATGTGGTGGAAGGAGAAAACTGACTCCCACAAAATACATATGCCCACTTCCCTGTAATAAATAAGCAAATGTAGAAGATTTTAAAAAGGATTTTGGGGGGCTGGAGAGATGACTCAGCAGTTAAGAGCACTGGCTGCTCTTACAGAGGACCCAGGTTCAGTTCCCAGAACCCACATGGCAGCTAACAATCATCTGTAACTTCACTTCCGGGGGATCCAGCGCCCTCTTTCGACCTCCTCAGGCATTGCCTGACATGGGTGCACTTACACACATGCAGACAATACACTTATATGCATAACATAAAAATAATAAGTAAAATATTAAAAAAGATTTTGGAAACCAGGTGTGGTAGTGCACACCTGTCCCCAACACTCTTGAACTTTAGTAGAAGCATCATGGATTCAAGGATAGCTTGGGCTACAATGAGTCCTTGTCTCAAAATGAAACAGAACAAAACAAAAAAAAACTATAAAACAAAACAAATGTTAAGATTTCTTTTGCAGGTGACAAAAGTGTCCTAAAATTAACTGTGGTAATAGATGCACAAGTCTATGTATATAATAAAAAGCCACTGAGCTGTATACACTGTGTTTTTCTATTTGCTCAGTCCTGGGAGTTGAACCTATGGTTTTACATATGCTATGCAAGTGCTCTCCCACTGAGCTCCATCCCCAGCCCTCTGTTCATCTTTTTGAGATGAGAGTTTCTGTAAGTTGCCCAGGCTGCCCTTGAACACACTATGTAGCCTAGACTTGAACTTAGGGTCCTCCTCTCTCAGTCTCCCGAGTAGCAGAGATCATAGGTATGGACCACCAATCCTAGCTACACAACTTTGGTAAATTGTTTACATGTAAATCATGACATTTTAAAGACAGGGTTTCCCTGTAGCCCCAGCTGGCTTGGAACTCGCTATGTAGACAGGCTGGCCTTGAACTAACAGAGATCTGCCTGCCTCTGCATCCCAAGTTCTAGGACTAAAGGTGTGCCACAACTGGCTGGGATTCTTTTATTTTAAAATGTAAATCATATTTCTTTTTTTTTTTTTTTTTTGGTCTTTTTTTCTTGAGACAGGGTCTCCCTGTAGCCCCAGCTGGCCTGGAACTCACTATGTAGACCTCACAGATATCTGCCTGTCTCTGCCTCCTGAGTGCTGGGATTTAAATGTAAATCATATTTCAATAAAACTTCTTAAGTTTATTTTTAATTTTTCATTACATTTATTTATTGTGTTTGTGTGTGTGGGTATGTGCATACAAGTGTACATGCCATGGAACGTGTGGCAGTCAGAGGACAACTTGTAGGAGTCAGTTCTCTCCTTCTACCATGGAGGTTCTGGGGATTGAACTCAGGTCACCAGACTTGAAAGCAAGCACTTTTACCTGCTGAGCCATTTCGGCAGCCCCAAAACTGTAAAATGTAATGGATGTTGTACAACTATCATGTACCGTACATTTCAAAAGCTAGAAATTATTTTGACTGTTTCCACTATAAAGAAAAGAAAACTGGGCCTGGTGTCTCATGCCTGTAATCCCAGTCCTCTGAGTGCTGTAGAAGGATGTCTGAAAGTTTCAGGAAGGTCTGGGCTACATAGTGAGTTATAAGGTATTCTGAGCTATAGATTGAGACCCTGCCTAAAAGCAAAAACAAAAATTAAAAATCCCAACGAAAATGATAGCTATCTTCACAACAGGCCCTGAATTGCAGCACCACAGAATCTGAGATCTGCAGGTCCAGACTCACAGTGTCAAACCCAACATGTTAGAAGAATCCAATCTTGGCTGGTGAGATGGCTCAATGGGTAAAGGCACTTGCTGTCAAGCCTAACAACCTGAGTTTGATCTCCAGAACCCACATGGTGGAAGGAAAGAACTGACTCCTGCAAGTTGTCCTCTGACCTCCACATGTACACTGCAGCATGTGCATACAAATAAATGTAAAAAACAAAATTAAAAGAATCAAAGCACTTGGGAAGCAGAAGCAGGTAGATCTCTGTGAGTTCAGGGCCAGCCTGGTCTATTTAGTGAGTTCCAGGCCAGCTGGGGCTACAGGGAGACCCTGCTTCAAAAAGACAAGAAGAAGAAGAGGAAGAAAGGGAAGAAGAAGAAGAGGAGGAGGAAGAAGAAGAAGAAGAGGAAGAGGAAGAGGAAGAAGAAGAGGAGGAATCAAATATCACAATAATATGTTTACAATAGAATTTTTTTTTTGCGTCAGGTTCTCCCTATGTAGCTCAGGTTAGCTTTGAACTTGAGGTCCTCCTGCTTCAGTTTCCTGAGTGCTGGGATGACAAGATACACTGCTACACCTGATCTGCCTAGAATCTTGGGTGTCACAGAGCCATAGACTCACAGAAGAGTTGGATGGCAAGAAGAATTCCTATTAACTGCCTCAGCGATTTACAACCTTATGGAAAATTCCAAATAAAACTACCAACAACAGCAGTGGCAGCTGCTAACACAGGGTATCAGTTGCCAGGAACTTTTCTAAAAGGTTTAGTATGGGAGCCATCACCAGAGCTGGAACCAGGCATGGTCGCTCATGCCTGTAACCCAACACTTGAGAAGCTGAGACAGGAGGACTGCCTTGAGTTTGAGGCTAGCCTGGGCTACCTGGTAAGTTCCAGGGTCTTCTAGGCTACAGAATGAGACCTTGTGTTAAACAAAACTAGGCTTCAGAGATGGTTCAGTGATTATGAGCACTGGCTGCTCTTGTAGAGGACCTGGGTTCAGTTCCTAGCACCCATGTGGTGGCTAACAATTATCTGTATCCCCAGTTCCCAGGGTCCAATGCCCTTTTCTCACCTCCATGGTCATTGCATGCATGAATACACTTACAGACATGCAGGCAAAACACTCCTACACATAAAATAAAAACAAATTAAAACAGAGAACTGGAGTCAACCTTTGAAAATAAGTTGCTTCCAAAAAGTTATGGCTCCTTTTGGGATGCCTATAAAGATAGGGGAATATTTTCTGCTCCCAAAGGACAAGGATCCAGTGGAGCTGTTCCATCCACATTAAGGATAGCCTGCCCTTCAGAGAGCCACAGCCCTTAATCTTTTTTTGTTTCCTGTCTGAATCTTGAAAACACTGGCATATAGAGCCCCTGATTTGCCAGCTGCTAGGCCTGTAGAAATGAAGGAAATCATGCATAATGCAGCAAGTCTGAGATAGAAAGGAAGTAGACAGAGCTCCTGGTCAAGACAAATTCTGTAATGGGGCTGGCGAGAAGACTCAATGGGTAAAGGCACTTGCTGTATCAAGTCTGACGACTCGAGTTCAATTCTGGAACCCACATGGCAGAAGGAGAGAATTGACTCCTAGAAGTTTTCCTCTGGTCTACACCCCCCCACACACACTCACAAAATGAGAAAAAAATCTCCTGTAATATGGATGGGTATGCAGCTAGTTGGTGGAGTGCTTGCCTAATATGCACAAAGACATGGACTGGATCTCCAGCACCACACAGAGTGGGTATGGTGATGCACACCCATAATCCCAACATTTGGGAGGTGGACACAGCACCCTGGGCCTGTACACACAGGCACACACATGTGCACATGCACCCACAGACATGCAAATACTCATACATACATACCACACACAGAAATGCCAAAAAAAGAAAGATAGGAAGAAAGAAAACCAGGGATTGGGGAGATGGCTTAGCTGCTAAGAGCAGTGACTGCTCTTGCAGAGGACCTGGGTTTGGTACTTAGCACCCACAAGGCAGCTAACAACTGTCTATAACTCCAGTTCCAGGGGATCCAATGCCCTTTTGGGTCTCCATGGGCATTACAGGCATGGTTGCACTTCCATACATGCAGGCAAAACACTCATACACATAAAAAAATCCTGTCTAAAGCCACACATGATGGCTCATGCCTGTAATCCCAGCACTCAGGAGGCTGAAGCAGAAGGATTTCTGGGAGTTCAAGGCCAGTTTGGTGTGAGCCTCTGCCTCAAAACAAAAACCAAAACAGCTAACATTTTTTGGAGGGAGGTGGGTCTCAAAATGTAGCCCAGGTTGGCCTCAAACTCCCTGTCCCCTTGCCTCAAAACCCAAGTGCTGGGACTACAGGTGTGCACCACCACACCCACGGTATTTTTTTCAGAACTGCCTGTGCATTAGATATACATGCTAAGTGCTTTCCAAACACCAGTGAACATTAATCACCATCCTTAAAGTGTGCATCCTAGTAAATGTCATTTGACAAATGAGAAAAAACAATCTTGTCACTTGCTCAAAGTCACAAAGGTTAGATGTAAGGACAGGGTAGGATTTAACTCAAATATGACTCTACAGCCTGAGCCTTCAACCGGTCTCTCATTCTTTGAAACCTTGGAATGAATGATAAGATAAAGGACAGATCCTGGTTCTGATACCTTTCAACTGTCCTGTGTTGGCGGTAGGCAGGGAAGGGCTCAGGCATGAATGGTACTGATCCCCATTTTCTCCATAACACCTACATGCGCTCGATGAACCTGCAGTCCCTGGCGGCCACCATCAAGGCAGAGGGAAGAGGCCATGTCCTGGAATCCATGCCCTGATTAAAGGCGTTTTGGAGAGGGCTGGCTGGGAGCTAGAAGAGGAGCCGCTTCAGCACCAAGGACAGCAGCCGAGCGCGCCAAGCCTCAATGTCCGCTATCTTTTTGAGGGGGAGTGAGGAGCGACCCACAGGAATGTGTTCCTCCAGGGCTCTCCGCCCACTGTGTCCCCACGAGTTCGGGGTGAACTCAGGTTTATGGTTTCCCCCACCTGAAGTCAATACCAGGATTGAAGGACCTCAGATTCTTCTCTTCCCCTCTACCAGGTCTGAAAGTCAAATCCCGGGACTTTCTTAAGAGCCCACCTGTCCAGTGCGCAGCATCGTCATGGCAACCAGAGAGGCCAGGGAAGCGATCAAGCGATTGGTCCGCTTTCTCTCACGTCCCTAAGCTACCGCTTCCTGGTAACTAAGGAAACCAAAAGGGGCGCTGCCTTCTCCATCCTTTCATAGATAGGGTTGCTTAGGAAGGGGCCCGGCCTCTCTCTTTTGCTAACGGAAAAAACACCATCTATATTTTCACAACGCTAATTAGAGAGGAGGGAAATTAAGAGGCCACTTTTAAATTTCTGGAGCGGTTGAGATGTCATTGAGATCACTTCCGGTGAGTACAGGAAGTGGGAGGCAGGTTGCTCTGACAACAGTGGGACGAGGTGGAGAGGAGGAGCTACAGTGTCTCAGGAAGGACGGATCAATGGGAGGGTGCCAGTCTTTATCTCCACTCCCTCTGAATCCAAACCACTCCAGGAAGTACGGAGTCCTTTCTAGATTATTAGAGCTGACTTCCTAATAATATTCACCATTAACAGGCATTTGACAAACAGAAGCCACTGTGCGGGCACTGGGAGGTATGTCTCCTGCACCTCACCAGCTTCACAACAACCCAGCCCCCAGCTGACCTGCTTGGCTCTGTCGGGGTTCATCGTGGTTTGGGGCTGAAGAATGTTGACCACCTCAGGCTTGGTCATCGCTTGAGGGATTTCTCGGACCTTCTCGGCGATAAAGCTGTGCACAGCATTCAAGGCCTCTGCCGTACCCTGTACTAGGCATACCCGTTCTGTAGTTCCTGTTGAGGGACAAAGGCGGGCACACGCATCAGATAGCAATAGGGACACTCCTGACAGAATGGCCCCATTTTGTGGAAGGAGAAGACCAAGGTTTGGGGGTCCTGAGTCTTGGTCACCTCGTATGGGTGTCAAGCCCATGGTGGTTAGCTGGGGAGAATGAAAGGAATCTGGTTTTGTTTTTTTCTTAACATGTATGTATTGCCTGCATGTATGTAAGTGCACTCATGTCACGCAATGCCTGCGGAGGTCAGAAGAGGGCGTTGGAGTCCCTGGAACTGGAGTTACAGTTAGCCACCATGTGGGTGCTGGGATTCGAACCTGGGTCCTCTGCAATAGCAGCCAGTGTTCTTAACTGCTGAGCCATCTCTCCAGCCCCAGGAATCTGTTTTATAATTTGCACTCTATCTCCCTCCCCTAAAACAACCTTGGGGAATGGAAGAATGATGCCTAAGTGCCCACAGCAGCCCTGGGCATAGGAGGTAGGGCTCAGCTGCCTCTTCCCAGTTCTTGTGGGCTCCCCCGGTTGCTCTGGCAACCATTCACTCACCGCTGCCCGCGCCCCCCCCTTTCCAGAGGCAGAGTGCTTGGGCCTGAAACGGTTGCCACAGTAACTGGAACCCCCTTATCGGGCTGGCTGGCCGGGTCCTCAGCCCACCCCCAGGGGGATGCGGGCCGGCTCAGTTGCCATGGCAACCCCTGAAAGCCTGCAGCGCCTGGCCTCTGGGCTTTTGGAGAAAATGAGGAAAAAGCGGGGGGGGGGCGATGGGGGAAGCAGGAGAGATGCCAGAGTGTGAGCCTAGACCCACCAGATGGAGGACTGAAAGGTGGGGGAGGGCAGGAGAGTGGATAGGGGAAGAGCAGGAGAGGTCAAAGGCAACTCTTGGAGGATGAGGGCTGGGAGACCAGGAATGGAAGGTGGGAAGGCAGGCTGCCTATTCTAGAGCCTCCAAGTACTGGCTACAGTTTGAACCTGAGCATCCACTCCACTTCTGTATGTGTGTACTGCAGGTGTGTGTGTGTGGGAGGGTAGGGGTGAGAGATGCTGGTGACACTGGAATATAATGTGTTGGGGAGAAAGACTTTAGGTGACACTGTAACCTGTGTATGCACAAGTGAGGCTGCCTGAGTGAGTTATGTCTGTATTGTATGTACCTGGGCAGAACTGGAGAGATGACCTTAATCTGTGTGCCTAAGAGCGTGGGAGAGACTGGAAGACAAACACACTATGTACTGGGGTGTGAATTGGTCATAGAACCCTTGATTGGAATCCCCCAGTGAGGGGCTGGAGGCATGGCTCAGGGGTAGCACACTTGCCTAGAATCCCCCAGTGAGGGGCAGGGACCGTGGCTCAGCAGTCAAGCACTTGCCTAACAAGTATATGGTCCTGGGTTCAATCCCCAGTAGAACACACACATACACACATACCTCCCAAAACAGATAATACAACAACTGGAGTCACAAGTTTTGTGGTGGGAAGACTTTGATGTCGCTGTGCTGATCATGCCTACATATATGATTTGTAAGGCAGCTGAGTAAGTTTGACATAAAGAAACAAAGGATCTCAGGAAGCAACAGGGGCTGTGTAGTGACTGTAAGGTTCACTGGGGTGTGTACCTGCATCTGTGTGAGCAAGGGGAAGAGACAGCACACACCTCTAGGTAGTCACAGACTATTTGGATGACTAGCATGTGGTATGCAGATATGTGGGTGTGCATATATATATGCACACCTATATGTATACAAGGCAGATATCACCCTCTCTTGATCCACCACGTGAATGTGAGGAGATAGACAGGCTGACTTAAGTGTTTGTGTATAAATATGGTTATTTGGTCGGTATATTGTGTGCATGTGCAAGGGTACCACATTACAGAGCGACAAAGAACTGGGCCTGCCCTGTGTGAGATTATGTATGTGCTAGGGCCTCTTTGATATGACATGTGAGTGTCTGTGTTCCTGAGAGGGATTCTGCCTGCAGTTAGCTCTCTGGGTCTGTCAAGGTTTTTGAATGTGTGCCAGACTCTGCGCCTGTGTGTCTGGGACACTTGGTACTGAGTGTGGAGCCCTTCAGTGCAGTGTGTGGGTTCTAGTTTGACCTCTCCCCTGCTACCTCTCAGTCTGGCCCACCAGTGTGGCCATGTATCTTGGGTGTCCCCTTCTGTGGGTCACTCATGTTGCTGACAACCCCTATCCTTTCTCTTGGCAGAATGATCCTCACTTCTATGTCTCCCTCCACCCCAGAACAATGGCTTAATCTGGGCCAAGGGTGAGTCAGCTGTAGGCTGCCTCTGGGTGTAAATAGGAAAGGGTGTGGGATTGGGCTGGGAATAAGGGTGTATGTGTGGGGAAACCCCAGGGATAGTGTGGGAGAAGTGGCCAGGGTCTCCATCTCTATAGAGCTTTCTTCCAACTCAGGAAATCTGTGTCTACCCACCCCTATGAAGTTCTTAGCCTGGGGTCTACAGGAGTTTGGGAAGGGGGCCCTATAAATCATGGAAAAGTGTCCCATAATAACAGCGGTGGTTTCATAACCAGCACCAGGCACCATTCTGAGTGCTTGGTATGAATTTCTTCATTTGACATAAGGTAGGCTGTCTCAGTCTCCCTGATTTACTGCTTATGACAGAGAGAGGGTTTTGGTTTCCTCCTCACCTCACTCAACCAGTACAGAATGGCCAGGGTTGTTGTTGTTATTATTATTATTACTATTATTGTGTGTGTGTGTGTGTGTGTGTGTGTGTGTAGGTCAGAGGACAATCTACCTTCTACCATGTTTGAGACAGTCTTTTTTTTTTTTACCACTGTGTAGCCCAGGCTAGCTTCCCCACCAACTTCCACTTCCTATCTCATCATAGAAACACTGGGATTGCAGTATACTACTGTGCCTGGCTTTACATGGGTTCTGGGTTTACATGGGTCCTGTCCTTAAGCAGGGAATCAGGGAGACTTGAGACACAGCCTACCTCACCTCATATGTCATGGGTTTACACTGTTTTCTGTTGGTATTGAAGACTGAACTCCTATCTCACCATAGAAACCATGGGATTGTAGTGTGCTACTGTGCCTGGCTTTAAGTGAGTTCTGAAGATTCGAACGCAGGTATTCATGTTTATGTGGCAAGTGTGATACCCACTGAACTATCTCCTGCATCCATGATTGGGGTTTATGAACCCAGGTGTTTGGATTCAGAGCTCAAGAGTCTTTGCTCATTTTTGTTGTTTTGTTTTAAGAAAGGATCTTGCTATGTAGCCCAGGCTGGCCTGGAATTCCCATCTTTCCACCTCTGCCTGCTGAGTGCTGACAAGACAGACATGTGCCACCGTGCCTAGTGTAGTCTGTGCTCTTATTTATTTATTGTATTTATTTTATGCATATGAGTATATTGCCTGCATGTGTTTAAGTACACCCATGTTGTGCAATACCTTCAGAGGTCAGAAGAGGGGGGTCAGATCCCCTGGAACTGGAGTTATGGACAGTTGTTAGCTGCCACGTGGGTGCTAGGAACTGAACTCCTCTGCAGGAACAGCCAGTGCTCTGAACTGCTGAGCCCTCTCTTCAGTCCCAGGTCTGTGTTCTTAATCACAATCCATCCCATGCTAAATTTTGGATTCTTGGAATTACTAGC